CCCCCCCCCACCCCACCTCAGGATCTCGCAGCTGCTGCTGAGTGATGACTGTCAGGCGATCAAAGAAAGATCAGCCTGAGGTCTCCTCTGTGGAGACACAGTTCAATCTCAGCCCATTGTCAGGAGGAAAATACTTTTCTGAGCCCTGGAATCGGTCCCTCTAACAGCCTACACTGGCTTTAGATGGACTCATGTGAAAAGACAGGCAGTCCCTTGGGCCCACGGCCTCTTCTTCATCAGAGACCCAAATCCAGTCTCTAAAGGGACGTCCAGGGTGGGGCTCCGATAGCCCATAGCCTCTAGCTTCTCAGCTGGGCAGCCTCGGGGAAGGCCCTTCACCTCTCTGTGCCTCGGTCTCCCCTGAACGGGGGCTGCAGCAGTTTTGAGGCTGAGTGTTAAACTTGTGACCCGAGGGAGGAGTGAGGGGCCGGTCACGGCAGTGCCCTGCATGTGGAGAGGAGGGCGCTTGAGGAGGCAGTCCTGGCTCATCTTATAATGACACTCCAGACAGGCAGCTGGGGGTGGCCGGGGCCAGATAGCCAGGAGGGCCTGCCTGCTCCAGCCCCAGAGGACTTGGATGAGATGCGCTGCCTGTGCAGGGAGCCTCGTCTCTGCGAGGATCAGTGTCGATCAGAGGACCAACACCTGCCAGCCTGAGGGTCCCGGACGGTCTAGGTGCGCCGTTCTCTGAATGTTTCAGGGGTTTGCCGGCCGGAGGCTGCCAAGATGTCACGTGGGGCAGGGCTTCTGAGGGGGTTGCTGAGGATGCCCGGGTGCAGTTCTGGGAACCCCTCTGGCCCTCAGTGGGACACTGACTGGGCACTGACCACAGTGTGTGGACAGAGGCCCAGTGACCACCCAGCCAGACCGTGGCCGACATGGCAGGAAAAGAGCAGATTTAAAAGTGGGGCTGAGTGGCTGGGAGGGGGCAGGAGAGGCTCCTGGGGGGTTCACACGGGGCCCCTGTAGAAGCCCACAGAATTTGCACAGGAGGACGGGCTGATCTCAGGATATGAGGCACGTCCATAGGAATCTGCTGGGAAAGCACGAGGAACGTGTTCCGTAGAAGGCGTGGGCTCCGGCCGCTGGCCTCTGCGCAGCCCCACGGTGGCAGGCACTCGGCTGTCCCACAGTCCAACGTAGCCCTGCACCTCCGGCCGCTCACTGCTGCCCTGGGCCCGCCGGCAGGAGGGCCGCCTCCACCTCTCACCCCCCGGGCTCCCTGCCCCCCCACCCCCCCAGGCCCCTGGAGGTGGAAGGGAGCTGGCGTGGATTGAAGTCTACAGGGAAGCTCGGCATCTATGGCGAGTTTGGCCTCCGATGGGTGCAGGAGTGCAAGCAGAGCCAAAGTGGTCCAAATGAATCCCGACAGATTTCATTTTCCAAAATGAGGTCAAAGCTGGCTGCTTAAGAGAAAAGCAAACCTCTGCCAGGGCTTTCAGGAAGAGATCTGGCTGACAGAGCAGGGGCGGTGGGGACACAAACAGTCTGGTCAGAGAGGGTGGGTGTCAGGAGTGGCAGGCCAAGCTGAGCCTGCAGCCAGCTGCTCCGAGGAGAGTGTTCAGGAGTGCGACCCAGGCGGGGAACTCGGGCGCCAAGCAGGATTCTCGGAGAAACCCGCGGGGCCTGGGAGAGCAGCTGGGAGCTGGGAACCCAAGTGGGTCCAGCTGTCAGGACCGACCACAGTCAGAGTGACGGCTCTGCTCAGGGTGAGGACGGGTGTCGGCATGAGGCTGTGTACTCGGGGACAACCAGGGAGACCGACAGTCATGATTCGTGCGGAGGACAGGGTGGGACGCCAGCATCTCAGCTCATCTGCTTAGGCTAACAACTGACTCCATCTTCTGGTTGTAGAAAGGAGTCCCCACTCAAAGCCCAGGCTAAGGCTGCCTTTCCCCAGAAGAACACGGAGCGGACGTCAACTCGGAGGCCCCTCTGCCCCAGAGGAAGTGGAATCCAGCGCAGAAACCCCTTGATTTGTGTCCCTTTCTCAAGATTTCAAACTTCAATCCCTCCCTTTCCTTGTGGCAGGTTACATCATCCCTTCCGCTCAGGGCCCTCAACTGTCGGGGCAGAGCTCAGAAATGAAAGAGAAAATGCAGGGACAGGCAACAGTGTGGGTGACTCTCAAAATAACCACGTCGAGGGAAAGACAAAGAACAGGCCCAAGGCCACCCAGCCTCCACTGGCAGAAGCAACCCAATCCACAGATAGAAGGTGGGCCCCAGGCCATCTGGGGGGACGCAGGGGCGGGAGGGGACTCTGGGGGACGGATACGGTCACCATCTCGAACGTGGGGATAGTTCAGACTCCAAACGTCAGTTAAACCATTTAAAAATGGGGATGTGGAAACGATGGGCCACCCCAGGGCCTGAGAGAGGAATCCCACGCAGGTGCTCGGCGAGGCTGGGGCGCCTGCCGCTGTGGCTGCGTCACCTGAACCTTCCCACCTGTGCCATGACAGAGGCAGGGGCACACGCCCCCGGACAGGCCTGTCCCACCCATCCACGCGGCTCGGGCACAGGCAAGGCGACCCCGGAAAGCCCTCAAAGACCCCTCCCGACGCACAGGCTCTCACTTTGCCCTTTGGTTTCTGGTCACATGGGTGAGACACTGACACAAAAGGGAATGAGAACCCTCCTGCCTCGGGCGGGTGGGTGGGTTTCTGCCCTACTTTCCTCTCTTTATGGGCTCTGAGGAGCCAGACGAGGCTCTCGGTGAGCAATGGATGGCAAACATGGAGCTTCATGAAATTAAGGACGTGTGGGCCTCAGTTCTGATGAATTTATGAATGCAGCTGAGAAGCGTGCCGAGCATGTCAATCTGAACATCAGTCTACAAGAAAGGAGTTTCTAGGCCGGGCTTTTATTCGCCAGCAGGTCTTCAGACACAGACAATCCAGGGCCTTATGTGGCTTCTGTTGGCATGAACTAACTGGGGTGGGTGCCAGGCATGGCCGAGGCATTCCTGCAGGGGAGCGGGGGGCGAGGTCCACTCTCTGTGGATCTCGGTGTCCCAGCTGGGCCACTCCACTCTGCTTGCCGGCGTCACTGGGACAACTCAAAATGTTCCAAGATGAAATACAAGAGAGTTCTCCATGGCTCAAGCCTAGTGAGCGTGGGTGCCTGGAACAGCTCAGCGCAGGGCCTGGCGCAAAGGAAGTGCTTGGGAAAGGGATGGGCGGATCGTGGAGCCCCAAGTACCACATCTGAAACAGGCTGGGGCAGGTAACTCAGCAGAGCGTGACTTACATTTAAGGTTTATAATATGAAGTCTTGAAGGTTTTCATAAACGTCAGCACCTCCTGGTACATGGAGCGTGCAGGGTACCCGAGTGCAAGGGGAACCAGGGTCAACCCTCCAGGGGACCAGGTGAAGTCGCTGCTCCCCGCCGGCACTTGGTGGAAGAGGGGGGCGCAGCACAGCCCCTGCCACTATGGGAGGGTCTTGCTGGGGTGTTTTAAATCTGGGGGAGTCCAAAGAACGGAGTTCCCCTCTGGCCGGACCACCTGAAGGAGACCCCCGAAGAGGTGACGAATTTCCTTTTGCCTTTGGTAGAAACAACATCTATGCCAGCCCGGGGGGCGGAGTCAGGAACGATCAAGACTTTTAGACTTAGGGTGTGTGGCACGCGGTGCAGGGGCAGGCTACCTGGGGAATGAGGTTACCTGGGGAAATGAAGAAGGTTCTCCACAGCTTCTTGTCCCGCGTGACGTCCCGGATCTCCTTGGTCATGTTGACCATCCTACCAGCCACGGGAGGGACCCGGCGGAAGTCCAGGATCCTGGCAGAAGGACAGGGAAAGGAGTCCTCACCTCCGTACCCTCCAGCCGCTCCCACCGGAGCTGAGTGGGCACCTCACTCTCCTCCGTCAGGCCCAGAGCCCTCGCGTCGGCTGCCCACCCTCCCCCCAGCAGCAAGGGGCCTGTGAGGCCAGAAAGAATTTGCATTCTGCTGGCAGAGCTGCCCTGAGACAGGTGATCACGGAGGGAAGGAGCCCAGTTTTGCGAGACTCATGACCTTTGGTCTTGCCAGAGAGGCTGATGCCCTGTGAGTCTCCTCTTTTCTCCCCTTTATTCCCGACGGCTGGCTCTCTACCCTGGGTTACCTGGGCAACTCCTGTCGGCCAGGCACACAGCAGGGCACGGCCATGGGGTGACAATGCCACGAGGGTGCCGGCGGGAGGGCTCACCTGTCCAGGTGGAAGGCAGCGATCTCTGCGTTGTGCCTCTCGTAATCGGAGAAATAGAAGAAGTCAGGGGGTGTCTCCTGCTCCCTCATTTGCCTGGAGAAAATGGAACAAAACAGAAGTTTATCAAAGAGAAGTCCTCCCAGTGGAAGGGGGCGTGTGGATCGTACCAACTCCGGGGAGCTGACTGTCGAATTCCCAAGGATTCTGGGAACAAGTCGTTAAATGTAGTCATTGTTAAAAATTAAATTATATAGGGAATTCCCCGGTGGTCCAATGGTTACGACTCCAAGCGTTCACTGCCGAAGGTGCGGGTTCAATCCCTGGTTGGGGAAGTAAGATCCCACAAGCTGTATGGCACGGCCAAAAAAAAAATAAAAATAAATAAAATTATATAAACCTACAGCTAAATAAGTTGCATTTAAGAATAACCACTTAGGGCTTCCTGGTGGTGCAGTGGTTGAGAGTCCGCCTGCCGATGCAGGAGACACGGGTTCGTGCCCCGGTCCGGGAAGATCCCACATGCCGTGGAGCGGCTGGGCCCGTGAACCATGGCCGCTGAGCCTGCGCATCCGGAGCCTGTGCTCCGCAACGGGAGAGGCCACAGCAGTGAGAGGCCCGCCTACCGCAAAAAGAACAAAAAAAAAGAATAACCACTTAGATCTCACGATGTCCCAGCTATTTCCTGAGCTGAGGCTGCTCCTCTTGTCTGCAGGTGGAAACCCGTGCTGGGACACCTGTTCCCAGCCCACCTCGGCGACCTCGTGCGGGGAGCCTGAAGCCTGGAAGTGTCTGCACTGTGGAAATCGGCAGACTCTGCCCATCAGGCTTTAATAACCACAGGGGCTGGTTATTAAATGATGATCAACACCCCCCCCCCCTCACCGCCCACCATATGCAGATTCTTGTGAGAGGCTGCTGGTGAGGATGGCCAGGCAGCAGAGGACCCGCCCTGAGCAAGCGACTTCCCCGGGTGTGAGCCGGGGCCCGGGTCAGGTTGTGCAAACTGACCCCAACCTGCTGTCGCTGCCCGGCCGCTGCCTGGACAGAGGGCTCCCCGGGGGTGTGCAGGAGGCACGAGGACTGCAGAACCCGTCTCTGAAGCCCACAAGGTGACCGCTGTCCGTGTCCCCAGGGCACCAGTGGCCTGCCTCCGCCCCTGCCCTGGGTCTTACCGTGTCCCTGAGTGGAGCTGAGATCGCCACACTGTCTCCTGGGCCTCTGCTCTGAGGCCTCCGCTCTGCTGTTCCATCTTCCTGGAAAAGCCTTCCCTCCATGTCTCCCAGTGGCTCAGTCGGCATTCCCAAATGTGTGTCCCACCCCACCAGGCCCTCAGACTCCCAGCACAAAAGGGGTCCTCAGTCAAAGGAGTTTGGAGTCTGGGTAACGGCCCCACTGGAGCACACGTGAGCACCGCGAAGGCTCGCAAGGGCTGCAGCCTTGTCCACGGGGTTCGCGGCACAGCGCCACTCTCTGCAACTGTGAGGACTGCTGGCTAAGCTCTCAGCGCTCAGCGCAGTCCCCCTGCCGCCTGAGGCAGCTCCTTCGCAAGCCTTCCACGCTGCCACAGTGAGCACGGCCACTGCTGGTCCCTCCCCTCCCAGGCTGGTGAGCAGACAGCAGCGTGCTCCACCCCACACCACCTCCGGGAAGCCCTGCCGGGCCGCCGGCTGCTCCTGCGCTGCGCTGGGCGCCCCCATCGCAGTGTGTGGGGCGAGGGGAGCGCCGCCTGGCCCTCCGCGGACTCCACATCCCCCCAGGATGTGAGGACTAAGGGGCTCCAGGAGCCTGTCGGCTCTAACGCGCCGAGCCCCACCGTGAGCGGCAGACAGCCCCTCCACCTGGCCAAGGGACAGGAGGCCACGTGCAGGACTCTGCTGAAGGGTGGACGTCACCCTGCAGACATCAGTGCTTAGCAGGCGGCTGGGGGCAAACACGGTGAGGGCCAGGCTTTGACCTCACATTTTGGGGCGTTTGCCCACTGTCCAAAGTCATGTGGGAGCAAACACACTCCCTGCATGAGATCCAGGTCCGTTCCGGGCCCTGCCTCCACCGCTGGGGACAATTTCCCCAGGAGGCCACCTGGCGGCACCCAGGGAGGAAACCCAACCCTCAGCCTAATAAGAATTTACCAAATGCCAGCGATCTTCTCTGAGCTGGGAAACACAGATCGGGCGAGAGTCAAGGGCCTCCCATGATCTGGCCCACACCTCCCACTCAAGGCGGAGGCTGTCCAGTACAGGCTTGAATGCGCCAGCGACAGGAGACTCACCACATTTCCCCAGGTAACTCTCCCAGCCTGGCTTCCCTGAGTCCTTACTCCCCAAAATGCAGCTTGAGTTGGCCAGAGACCACCTGGACCCAACCGCCAGCCGACATCACTGCTAAGCACCCAGGCACACGCACAGGTATTGAGTGCTGGAGAGCCACCCTCAGGAAACTGAGGCCACGTGGGGAGGACCAGACCCAGGCCTCAGTCCAGTGGGTTGCACATCCACTGGGGGCTCCCTCGCTCCCTGTGCTCTCAGAGCTCCTGACGGGACTCGCCCCTTTCCCCGTGCTTCCCCAAATGTCACCTGAATCAGCCTTTCCAGAACCAGCTTGTGACTCTGGGAACAGACCAGTGTTCACGATTCCAGCTGGTGTTAACTCTGGCCTGGGCAGGACTCTGACTGGGGACAACCCTGGCCTTGCACCAGTCCCTTTGTGAGCCACTTAGGGATACCCTGCAGACGGCTGCTGGTGACTGAGGCACAGGCCACCTAGTCACCTGGCTGAGCTGGAGGTGGCTGGCGTGCATTTCCCAGTCACAGACCCTGCAGGGGGCTGGCACCCAGGGTGGGGACTGCTCAGCACCCGGGAGAAGGCAAGGCCACGCTGGCCAGGGCTCCTGAGACATCAAGGAAACCAAGTTCAGGCTTCCTGGTGGAATCTCCTGACTTTTAAATGCTGGCAAGTAAATTTCCTTTTTTGAAAAACACTGTGGGTCGAATTAAATATGTGAGCCTCCCTCACTGGAAGCCACCCATGCCCTGGGTCTGCAGCGGCTGGAGGACTGGGTATTTCTGAGATTGAAGGTGGTGGTTGGCTCAACTGAGAATCCCTGGCCGAGCCCAGCACTGTCTACACAACACTGGTTCTACGGACTTTGATGTTTAAACTGGAAGAGAGCTGGTGCAGATTTAAGTCAGATTTCTTCTCTGCAGACCCCAGAACAGCCCTCCCCGCAAGGCAGCGTCTCCCAGTTGCACAGCCTGCAAACCCCACCCGATACGTCCCCGGCCTTTTATTTTTTCAGTCTGTCGTGGAATTAAGAATTATTTTCGTTGGAAAATACATCAGAACTCACCACCAGCTCCTAGGGCAGAGCCCCTCAAAGAGAGCCCTACAAAAATGTACGAAGCTGTGGGCCCTCAGAGTCCCCGGGGCCATGCCTGGGGCTGGCAGCACAGCTCTCGCCCGTGCTGCCAGGGGATCGGCCATTCTCACCCCACCCAGGGGCTCCGGGTCACTGACTCTGCTTCTCAGCGTGGCCTGCACTGCCCTCCCCAGCCCAGCAGGACTTTCCTCGGTGATGGACATGCTCTACACCTCACAGGCACACCCAGATGTTGGACATAGGACCCGACCTTCACATTTTATTTTAATTAACTTACACATAAACAGGCACATGTGGCTGGTGGCTACTGTCCTGGACAGTGCAGATCTAGAGGACGGCCTTTCTGAGGCCTCTCTGCTCCCTCCGACTGTCCCTCTGCCCGTATATCCTCACCCCTGGGTCCTCCTCTGCCCTCTGTCTCCCAGGCTCTGCCTCTCCACTCAGCTCGTGGCTCCCCTGACCCAACAGGGCCCTCTGCCTGCCCTCCCAGTGGACCTTCCTTCTTCCACTTTCTCGGCCAGGCCATCATCACCATCACCAGTGCTTCAGCCTTTGTTCTCTCTCCCTCACCCTGGCCCACCCCTCTGAGCAGGTCACACACGTGGAATGCAGGTGGCTCTGAGCCCTGCTGCTCTGGGAAAAGCCCAGCCACTTCCTGAAGGCACTGTGACCAGGCTCCGGAACAGTTCCTGGTACCTTCCCATCTCCCGCCTTGGGGTTTTCCGGTGACCTCTGTCCCCAGGCCATTTACAGGAAGGCAGCTCTGCTCACCTCCTGGCGTCCTTACCAGCCAGTTCACGCCTGGGAGAACTCAGGGAGTCTTGGAGTTCCATTTATCTGCTGTGGGGAGGATGCTGGCACATCTCAGGGCGCAGGTGCTGAGCAAGGGATAACCTGGGAGCGTCTATGGGATACCAGGGGCCAGGGGCACCGGTCCCACTGTAGAGACTGGGATTTCTTTCCTTGCACTGAGTAGGGAGAAGGTGGACCATGGTCCCCTCCATGGGGGGCCGGCCACCTTCCTGCCACTTCCTGGGCTGCACTGGGGAACAGCAGGTACTTTGGAAAACTACTGAACCCAAAGCACCAGGCAGGAGACTGGACTTGGCTGAACCGCGTCACCTGGCAGCCTCTTCTTCCTCCAGGTGTCCCGGCGGAAGGTGTGCTCAGGTGCAGGAGGGCAGGTGTGGGGTGCGGCCCGCCCCAGGCTTCTTCCTGGGAGGGAGGCATGGAGATGTGAAAAGGAGATGCTATCGGACCCTCTGGAGTTGGCTGAGCACCCAGGGCTGGCCCTGACGAGGGGCGGAGAGCCCAGGGGCCAGGGACCAGCATTTCCTGAAAGGGCACCTGCAGCCCAGGAGTCACGGCCCTCCCCCACCCTGGCCTCGGGACTGCAAGGCAGGGAAATGAAAAGGTGTTAAGGCTGATGACTTCCTGGTCAAACAGCAGCTGAGGAACGAGGCAAACCACGGATTTAGGTGTCTGTTGAAGTGAAAGATGGCCTTGGCAATGGCGACTGGGGTTGAAAAGGGAAGAAAGGTAGAAACTGGTGGAAGTGGGAAGGGCCAGGGTCCGAGGAAGGTCCGGGTCCGCTCCTCCTGTCAGGAAGACCCTGGAACTTCACACTCCACCTGGCTCAGACAGTCCGATGGAGCCCCAAGGCCACCAGAAAGCAGGCCCTGGAGGGCGGTCCCTGATACCCTCAAAGCCCAGACCC